TTGTATGTGCAGGTCCACGTCTTCATATAGCCCCCTATAACGCTACCGCCCAATATTCAGTATTTTGATGATTTTAGCGTCGTTATTCGCCGGAGTAATTTCAAATTACGTATTTAGTGTTCGTAATGGGAACTCCCTATATTCGGTATTTTGACGATTTTAGGTACAATACTCATCGAAATTGTTTGAGATGTCGTATTTGAAGTTCGTAATAGATACTACAGACCGTGACAGAAAATTGTCTAAGCAGGTAATGGCTTATAACAAACAATGCCTATATAGGCCCACGTCGTATAGACCCCAATATAAAGGCTATATTCGTTTTTTTTTAAGATCTTAACAGAATTTTTAACGAATTTTATTTTTTGAAAATTTCCAGATTCGTTCTAAATGCCTATATAGGCCCACGTCGCATAGACCCCAATATAACGGCTATATTCGGCATTTTTTTTACTTGTTACTGCTTTTTACTTGTTAAAATATAAATTTGCAACATTTAAAATTTAAATTAAATATTACTTTCATTCATCAATATATCCGACCAAAAAAACACGTAGATAGCAAAAGTAGGTCATGAATAAATTAAAAACAATGGTTGTTAATTCCACATTCGATATGAGATCTGCCAATAATCCGAAACCTGTAGTTTTGTGAAGAGTTCTGTCAAATTAGACTTTAAAAGATTCTGGTTCGGGATGCCAACAATCAGTAGTGTTGTAAAACGGGAAGAGATAGCATCACAGCATGAAAGTAATCTACTTATATTCAAACACTGTATATCAAAATCAGAATCAGGCAATTTTTTTTTAATTTTTTAGGCGTTCTTTGTTTTTGCTTTGGCATAGGCAGTGGCAATAGCATTGGTCCCGGCAGCAGAAACAGGCTCAGTAAACGGATATAAGTAAATATATTTGTTCTCCTACTTCTACGAAGCTTAAATAATTTTGTTTTTATATAATTTCTAGTTATTTTGGCAATAAATATGTAAATCATTTTATAATCATTAACCCAGGACATAAACCTGTGTATAGAGTAAACCATGATGGTTATCATTACCAGGGACATAAACCGGTATATAAAGTAAACCATGATGGTTATCATTACGAGGCACCACCTGTTAAAGTGGAAGAGCCGGTACTACCGGAAAACGTGGCTCATGGTATTCCAATGGAACAAGATATTAATGGAAGAACATTGGAATCCCTTGTTGGATAAAGTTTGTTCTATACAAAAAAAAAAAAAAAAAAAAAAAAAAAAAAAAAAAAAAAAAAAAAAAAAAAAAATAAAATAAGAATAATAATAATAAAATAAAATAAAATAATAAATAATAAAATAGGGTATCAGTGATTGAATATTTATACGACAGATGTATACCCTCAGCTAATGTTCGATTATTTTAACATATTTTGACTTGTGTTATGATTTTTCAAATTGTTGACTCTCTATGGAATACGTTCCGAAGGAATGCGACAATATTGTCCATTTTGTATTGGACCTCACTTTATATGAGATATGTGATAATTTTTAGAAAATGTAAAGTTATGCTGTGAGGTACCATATAAAGTCGACCGAGTATTCGTCGAGTATTTCACTTTTCCACTTTATCTAATACAAATAAAAATAAATTCCATATTAATCGCAGGTTTCAGGTTGAGAGAAATATTTTGAAATAGCGGATAGATAGTATTGAAAATTGTGACTCAATCGCACTATGTGATAGTAATCTTATTTCCCAATTTCAGCATTTCACCTCTATCGGTTCGCCCAAATCGAAATTTAAAAAAAAATTAGGACTATTTTAAAAAAATTAGGACTATTCTATTCATGAGTACAAATTTCGAAAATTACCTTCACATCCCAGTCCTACATTCACACTGTTGGCCTCATATGGAGAAGGCTCCGAAGCAGTCAGGCGAATATTGTCCAATTCGTATCTGTCCTAAGTGTGATATATATCTAATTCTAATTGGACTATATCGTCTAATTCCCATACTTTTAAGGAGATGTATGCATGAAGTTTTTGAAAAATGTTTAAATATACGTGGGGTAATACATATAGCGGACCAAAATATTCCACTTCATCTGATACAAATATTGGTATGTTCAAAATTTAAAGGAAATCGAACATTTATATCCAATTTTATACGAAATCAAAAATTCCGATAAATTACATATTCATATCAGATGTCAGGCAAGTTGTATAGAATCGTCGCCTTATTTCGAAAGTTATGATAGATGTAAGTATTTGTACCAGAAGGGGTTCACATATATATATATATATATATATATATATATATATATATATGTATATATATATATATATATATATATATATATATATATATATATATATATATATATATATATATATATATATATATATATATATATATATATATATATATATATATATATATATATATATATATATATATATATATATATATATATATATATATATATTATATATATATATATATGTATATATATATATATATATATATATATATATATATAAAAAAAAAAGTTCAGATGTCCCAAATCTGAATGGAATCGGATATTAATTTCATGTTTTATGAGCTTCATGGGGAAGGAACCATAAGTATCGGACCGATATACTCCTTCTTCACACCAGGTCTTGGGTTAATAAAAGCATTGTGATGTGTGTAATTTGAAGACAAGCGGATGCTTATTTCGGATTTTATGATCGTCTACCATCTTTATAACAGTTCTTGTGTTGATAAAAAAATATTGTGATATGCCAAGTCTGAATTGAATCGGATGTTAATTTCACATTTTATGGACTTCATGGGTATTTAAAATTTTGATCCTTTGCACCAGACCTTGGGTTAATAAAAATTTTGTGATGTGTGTAATGTGAAGACAATCGGATGCTTATTTAGGATTTTATTATCGTTTTGGGTTATTCAAAACTTCGACCCTTTGTGGGGGAGGTACCAAAAGAAATGGTCCGACCTCTACCATCTTCATAACAGACCTTTTGTTAATGGAAATGTTTGGATGTACCAAGTCTGAATGGAATCGGATGTTATTGTCATGTTTTATGAGCTTCATGGATATTCAAAATTTTCACCCTTTGCGGGGGTGCGAGGTACCAGAAGCATTCAATCTTCACAGCAGATCTTGGGTTAATAAAAATATTGTGATATGTGTATTGTGAAGACAAACCGTCTCTTAAATCACATTTTAAAAGAGTTATAATTATTCGCAATTTTGACCCTTTGTGTGGAGAGGTACTTAATGAAGTGGACCGATATTGTCCATTTTTGCACCGATGCAAATATTGGGTTTTGTAAAGTTGGAGCAAAAGCTGATGATCTTTTCTCTTTCTGTGCAGTAAAATATTTTCTTTGAAAATGTTGATCTTTTGTGGAGAAGGTACCAGAAGAAGTGGACCGATCCATCTTCGGACTCGATCTTAGTTTCATAGTAATATTACGATGTACCAACTGTGAATCAAATCGGAGAGTTATCGTATGCACCAGCCAGAAAGACAGATTGATAGACGGGCAATATCCAGTAACGGATTTGGTGGAAAGAGACCTAGGTTCTAACCATTATTTCGAAGAGGCAAGTTTTGGCCCTATTAAATGATATATACCTTCCCTCTTTCGCCATATGGCTAAGGGTTTAAAAAAATGCATCAAAGTGGAAAAAAATTAAAAAAAAAAAAAACAAAAAGATTGAAAAAATAAACAAACAAAAAAACAACAAACATTAAAAAAAAATTCAACAAAATTAAAAAAAAAAATCAACAAAAATTAAAAAAAAAAAATGAGATACAAATTGAATTATTTTTTGTTTTTTATATTTAATTTGGCTGGGAAACCCGAATCCTTCCTCATTGTATGGCGCCCAACGTGTTTATTTTTTAAATAAAAAAAATATATCAAAAAATTATAGTCGTGATGGGAAAAACGACGGATCAAACTTATAAATCACAATGTGGCGCCCAATATGGGGCTGCATAATTTTTTAAATGAAAAACGTTGTAATATGTGAAGAACCCATAGAAGAACGTGGCTTTCATTCGCTCTGGAAAACACGTTAGTACAAAGTTATGGTATAACTTAGGCGCTGGGCAGAATCAATTTCCAAATTCACAATTTTGACCCTCTGTGGGAGAGTTACTTAATGGAGTGGTAGAGTGAACTAGCACCGCAATGCAAATAATAGGATTTGCAAAGTTGGAGCAAGATCGGAGTAGCCTTTCTTCCTTCTGTTTCGGACGGACACAACTAGATCGTCTCCAAATGGACTGAAACGGATTTGGTCCAAGGAGACTTAAGGTCTACAAACTTTATTTCGATGAGACACGTTTTGGCCGTATCAAATGATATCTACCCTCTGTAGTCAAATGGCTGAGAGTATAATAAAGTGAATAATTTTTTTTTTTGGAATTTGTTTATATTTAGGGTCCGAAATGTTATTACATCTTACGATGCTTATAATTCTGATAATAGAATAAGTTAATAATAATTTATATATATACCTAATAAAAATATATATTTTCTGTTTCGTTTATTACAAACAATAGAAAACCTTATTCTTCCTTCTCCTTATTTGTTTGTTTACAAAAAAAAAAAAAAATCATCTACATTTTTTTAACGGATATCATAAAAATGTCTTCTTCTTTATTGTATTTGTTGTGGTCATTTGGAAATAAAGAATTGAAACGAAATGTGAAATATTGAATTGAAATGCTGATAAGAAAAAAAAAAGAGAAAAAAACCTAAAGACTCATTGGAAAACTTTTTCATTTTTCAAATAAAACCAAAAAGAAAAAAATTGAAATTTATGATTGGAGAGGGGAAAATAAAGTTTGAAATTTTCGTTTTTAAAATTCCAAATATTTTATTTGACTCAAATAAAATATTGAGATTTTGAAACAATCTATTGAAAAAAATACTTTGCCTTTACTGACACTCCCCTCTTCAATTTTTCTTTTTCTTTTTTTGGTTTCTTTTTTATATTTGCAGAGGAGAGAGAAAATTGAAAAAGTTGGAAAATGAAATGAGTTTTTAAGATAAGCAAAAAGAAGTGAGAAACAGAAAAACAGAAAAATTCTCAGAGTCAGCGGTGGTGGTGGAGGTGGTGCTGGAATTTCCCCCTTGCAAAAGAATCTCAAAGCCGTCACATTGAAGTCTTGCATTAGTGGTGGTGGTGGCAATAAAAAAGGAAAAATGGGCGCCAATGTTTCACAGCTGGAAAAGGAAATCGGTTCCGATCTGTTCCCACCCAATGAGCACTACTTTGGTCTGGTGAATTTCGGCAACACCTGCTACAGCAATTCCGTGCTGCAGGCCCTGTATTTTTGCAAGCCATTTCGCGACAAGGTGTTGGAGTACAAGGCCAAAAATAAGAGACCCAAAGAAACCCTATTGTCCTGTTTGGCGGATCTTTTCTACAACATTGCCACGCAAAAGAAAAAGGTTGGCTCCATTGCCCCCAAAAAGTTCATTGCCCGCCTGCGCAAGGAGAAGGAGGAGTTCGACAACTACATGCAACAGGATGCCCATGAATTTTTGAATTTTCTCATCAATCACATCAATGAAATCATATTGGCCGAGCGCAATGCCAGCAAAAGTGGTGGAGGTGGAGGCAATGCCACATCGTCGGCTGGTACGGCAGCGGCAGCCACCAAATCCTCATCGACCACATCGACCTCAACCACGGTCTCCAACTCTTCGACCAATGGTACTTGCTCAAATTCAACGGGCTCCATAAACGGCATTGGTATTGGCATCTCCGATGCCACCACCCCCACCCAGGGCGGTGGCAGTCCGGCCAACAGCGAGCCCACCTGGGTCCATGAGATATTCCAGGGAACACTCACCTCGGAGACGCGTTGCCTCAACTGTGAAACGGTCAGCAGCAAGGATGAACATTTCTTCGATCTCCAGGTGGATGTCGATCAGAATACCTCAATCACCCATTGTCTGCGGTGTTTTAGCAACACCGAAACCCTCTGTTCGGACAATAAATTCAAATGCGACAACTGTTGCAGCTATCAAGAGGCTCAAAAGCGTATGCGTGTCAAAAAGTTGCCAATGATTTTGGCCCTGCATCTGAAACGCTTCAAATACATGGAACAATTTAATCGTCACATCAAGGTCTCACATCGTGTGGTCTTTCCCCTGGAACTGAGGCTGTTCAACACCTCGGATGATGCTGTGAATCCGGATCGCCTTTATGATCTTATGGCTGTGGTCATCCATTGCGGTTCGGGACCGAATCGTGGCCATTACATTAGCATTGTCAAGAGTCATGGTCTGTGGCTGCTTTTCGATGATGATATGGTCGATAAGATTGAGGCTTCGACCATTGAAGATTTTTATGGCCTCACCTCGGATATCCAGAAATCATCGGAAACGGGTTATATTCTGTTTTATCAATCGAGGGATTGTAATGTTTAAAAAAGAATAGGTCATTAATTATTTTATAATCGCAATAAAACAATGTGTAATGTCTGCAAAGTGAGCAAAAGCCGTAAGTGACAAATATTTAGAGGAGGAGGAAAATCCATTTAAAAATTTCCATCTTTCAGCAAACAATCCCATTACCAAATAATAAGTCAGTATTGCGCTTTTGTTTGCCTCATTACCAAATAATGAGTTTAAATTGCTTTTCATTACCAAACATGGAGTTACTATGGCATTTTAGTTTGCCTCATTACCAAATGTTGAATTAAGATTACACCATTAAGGATTTTGACTACTCAATGTCGGCAAAAATTGAAGTAGAAGTAAGAAAATATTTAGAAGGAGAAAATTACATTAAAAAATGTCCACCTACCCAGCAAACGATATCATCGCTAAATAATGAGAAAAAATTGCATATTTGTTTTCCTCATTACCAGGTAATGAGTAAATATTGACCATTAATTTGCCAAATAATTAGCGAATACTACAATTCAAAGTCAATTCAAGCTTTCGACAAAACTCGAATTCGATTTGGTAGTGGCTTTATTTAGGAGGAGGAAAATCCGTTTAAAAATGTCCACCTACCCAGCGAACAATCTAATTACCAAATAATGAGCTAATATGACCTTATTAGCAAATAATGAGTTGATTTTGCATTCTTATATGAGCCATTTCAAAATAATACCTTTTTTTAACTATTCTTCGCGATTTCGATTTTGTCGACTAAAAGTCGATTTAAGATTTTGACAATGCAATTTGGATAAAAGTCCATTTCGACTTCATAAGATGAAAATACATCCAACTACCCAGCAAACAATTCCATTACCAAGTAATGAGTTAATATTACATTATCGTTTGCCCAGGTTTAGTATTGATTTTGTCGACTATAAATTGTCCATTGGTAAAAATATAGCTTTTCGACTTTTTCTGTTGCATAAATAAAATAACGAAAAATCTGAAATTTAATTTTGTGTCTATCTTTGCATATTTTTGAGTTGAAGTGAAAACTACTGAAATGATAATCCCGAAATCGAAATATATCAAAAAGTCCACTTTGCCTCTAGATTTTGCCTCTAACATAAATTAATCGATCGAAAGTCGAATTGAAGAGTCAATAGAATGGGGAAAATGTTTTTTCAACCATGCCATCGTTACTCATTACTTTGTAAGGCAAACAATAAGTAACTTTAGCGTACAGTTTTTAAGGAAACCCCCATTATTGGTAATGCAAGTCGGTGTCGACTTACCTTGTAATGGGTTGTTGCGTGGCTCATGTTGACACATTTGTTTGCTGGATCAAGTTCCAACCTCTGTCAAAGTTTTTGATAGGTTTCAGTTTTTAAGTAGACCCTATTTATTTTTTCCTTATTGAGTGTTGCTTTTTTACATTACCTCGTAATGCGAGGTTGTACGGCTCATGTAGATACCAATTTTTGCTGGGTCAAATTTTAACATCTACTCATTAATCGTATTTCAACTCTTTGCCACCGTAACTCATTACTTTGTAAGGAGAAACATAAGTTCTGTTTATTTACAGCTTTTAAGGAAATTTCATTATTTTTCAAGTTACTGGTAATGCAAGAGAGTTCATCTTCATGTAGACACCGATTTCTGTTGTGTACTCTGTAAGGAGAAAAAAATAATTATTTTCGGCATAACCTATTAATTTTCTACTTACTAGTAATGCATGGATATCTTTTTTACATTACTTCGTAATGGGGTACCAAATTTTAACAAAATAATTAAAAATCTTAAATTAAAATATACGTATCCTTGCATATTTTGTCCGAAATGTAAAATATCTTAAAAGGTTTGTCAACATTAAATAAATCTGCATATTTTCACCTTACCTTGCAATGAGTTGTTATATGGCTTGTATAGATATCATTTTTTACGAGGTCATATGCCAACTGTAACTATTTTCTATTTAGATAACTTTTTTCTTGTGAAATTTTGAAAGAAAAACCCATTACTTTTCTAATTACTGGTAGAGCATGATTGCCTTTTTGTACATTACTTGATAATAGGACGTCAATTCATTACTTGTAAGGAGAAAAATATGTTATTTTCGGTTGCAATTTTGAATGGATAACCCAAACTCTTCTGATTACTGGTAGTGCATGAACGCCTTTTTGTACAGTTCTTGGTAATGGGGTACCAAATACTGCTGGGTATCAATAAAATAAAAAAGAATCTCAAACAAGTTTATCTTTGCTCATTTTTGTGGCCGGAATGAAACATCTCTTTTATGGCAAAATTAGAAAAATTGTGCAATTTTACACCTTACCTTGTAATGAGTTTTTATATGGCACGTGTGGGTAATTTTTATTCATTGGGTCATGTTCCAACCGTAACTCTTTGCTATTTGGGAGAAAAATAAGTTATTTTCTTGTGCAATTTTGAAGGCATAACCCATTATTCTACTACTTACTGGTAATTAATGAATGCCTTTTTGTACATTACTTGGTATTGGGATGTCAACTCTTTATTTGTAAGGTAAAAATAATTTATTTTTGTTCAAATTTTGAATCAATAACCTATTATTTTACTAATTACTGGTAAAGCATGAACGATTTTTAGTACATTACTTGGTAATGGGATGTCAATTTTTGCCGGATTAATTTCCAAAACCAAAATGTGTTTTTTTGGGTTTTAAATAATTTACCCTTACCACTTTTGCTAACGTTGCAGACACTGTGGCGGTTCAAATAATCATGAATTTTGTATTTAACATATTTGATCTAATCCCAAAGCCTACAATTTATAATATGAGGTGGAAATCTTGAAAAAATACTGAAATAGAATAAACCTTAATTTCCTAAATTGATTTTATATAATTTGATTCTTTTCTCGTGACCGTTATAAATTCTAGGCAAAATTTTCTTCAATGTGTATGAATTTATTTTTCTTTATTATTTTCTAATAAAAATTCTGTATTTATGTCTTGTCATCAAACTCTTTCTGAATATTTTTTATTTTTTTTTTTTTTTTTTGAAATTAAAATAATACATATTATTTCGATGGCTTTGAAAGTAATAACACAATGACCGTTTGGAAACAAGAACTAAATGTATTTAATTTATGTAGTATTATAAATACATGAATAATGTTTAGAATAATTTATTCTGCCTCTAAAGTTTATCCCCGCAGAATGATTCAGAACTCGATTTTCATGACCAAAAATGTCCCATTTTGCTTTGTCATCACCAAACATCTGCGGGTTTCAATAGCCCAATATATTGAAACGAAGCTAATTAAAAAAATATTTAAAATATTTTAAGGAGGCGCGCTCCACATCTTTCCCTTAAAAACAAAACCGAACTTTTTGTAAACCCGTTTCCGAATAATTGTGTGTCACATATAAAAAATATAGAAATGCAAAAAAAAAAAAAAAAAAAAAAATATTTCAATAAAATCTATAAAGAATTTAAATCAGCATTTAGTCGCACATAATGCATCAACTAGCTGTAAAAATAACGTATTTAAAATAATTGGTAATAAATTATAAAAAAAAACAAAAATATTTACAAATGTGTTTTTCTAGGAATAATTTTTGGAGGATAAGTATGGGTACAGATGTTGTAAAAAACAAAAAAAAAATAAATAAACCCAACTTGATAACAATTCTTTAAAAAATCCACATTTATTAGGCTAATGGTCCTTGGAAAAAATTCTTTAAAAAATTCACGTTTATTTGGCTAATGGTCCTTGGAAAAAATTCTTAAAAAAATACACATTTATTAGGCTAATGGTCCTTGGAAAAAATTCTTTAAAAAATCCACGTTTATTTGATGGTTGGTCCTTGGAAATAAATCTTTAAAAAATCCACGTTTATTGGGCTAATGGTCCTTGGAAAAAAATCTTTAAAAAATCCACGTTTATTGGGCTAATGGTCCTTGGAAAAAAATCTTTAAAAATCCACGTTTATTAGGCTAATGGTCCTTGGAAAAAAATCTTTAAAAAATCCACGTTTATTGGGCTAATGGTCCTTGGAAAAAAATCTTTAAAAAATCCACGTTTATTAGGCTAATGGTCCTTGGAAAAAAATCTTTAAAAAATCCACGTTTATTGGGCTAATGGTCCTTGGAAAAAATCTTTAAAAAATCCACGTTTATTAGGCTAATGGTCCTTGGAAAAAAATCTTTAAAAAATCCACGTTTATTTGATGGTTGGTCCTTGGAAAAAAATCTTTAAAAAATCCACGTTTATTAGGCTAATGGTCCTTGGAAAAAAATCTTTAAAAAATCCACGTTTATTAGGCTAATGGTCCTTGATAAAAATTCTTTAAAAAATCCACGTTTATTTGATGGTTGGTCCTTGATAAAAATTCTTTAAAAAATCCACGTTTATTAGGCTAATGGTCCTTGATAAAAATTCTTTAAAAAATCCACGTTTATTTGATGGTTGGTCCTTGATAAAAATTCTTTAAAAAATCCACGTTTATTTGATGGTTAGTCCTTGATAAAATTCTTCAAAAAATCCAGGTTTATTTGATGGTTGGTCTTTGATAAAAATTCTTTAAAAATCCACGTTTATTTGATGGTTGGTCCTAAAAAATCCACGTTTATTTGGTTGAGAGTCCTTGATAAAAATTCTTTAAAAATCCACGTTTATTTGGCTAAGAGTCCTTGATAAAAATTCTTTAAAAAATCCACGTTTATTTGTTGGTTGATCCTTGATAAAAATTCGTTAAAAAATCCACGTTTATTTGTTGGTTGATCCTTGATAAAAATTCGTTAAAAAATCCACGTTTATTTGATTGAGAGTCCTTGATAAAAAATCGTTAAAAAATCCACGTTTATTTGATTGAGAGTCCTTGATAAAAATTCGTTAAAAAATCCACGTTTATTTGATTGAGAGTCCTTGATAAAAATTCGTTAAAAAATCCACGTTTATTTGATTGAGAGTCCTTGATAAAAATTCGTTAAAAAATCCACGTTTATGTTATTTTCGGTTGCAATTTTGAATGGATAACCCAAACTCTTCTGATTACTGGTAGTGCATGAACGCCTTTTTGTACAGTTCTTGGTAATGGGGTACCAAATACTGCTGGGTATCAATAAAATAAAAAGAATCTCAAACAAGTTTATCTTTGCTCATTTTTGTGGCCGGAATGAAACATCTCTTTTATGGCAAAATTAGAAAAATTGTGCAATTTTACACCTTACCTTGTAATGAGTTTTTATATGGCACGTGTGGGTAATTTTTATTCATTGGGTCATGTTCCAACCGTAACTCTTTGCTATTTGGGAGAAAAATAAGTTATTTTCTTGTGCAATTTTGAAGGCATAACCCATTATTCTACTACTTACTGGTAATTAATGAATGCCTTTTTGTACATTACTTGGTATTGGGATGTCAACTCTTTATTTGTAAGGTAAAAATAATTTATTTTTGTTCAAATTTTGAATCAATAACCTATTATTTTACTAATTACTGGTAAAGCATGAACGATTTTTAGTACATTACTTGGTAATGGGATGTCAATTTTTGCCGGATTAATTTCCAAAACCAAAATGTGTTTTTTTGGGTTTTAAATAATTTACCCTTACCACTTTTGCTAACGTTGCAGACACTGTGGCGGTTCAAATAATCATGAATTTTGTATTTAACATATTTGATCTAATCCCAAAGCCTACAATTTATAATATGAGGTGGAAATCTTGAAAAAATACTGAAATAGAATAAACCTTAATTTCCTAAATTGATTTTATATAATTTGATTCTTTTCTCGTGACCGTTATAAATTCTAGGCAAAATTTTCTTCAATGTGTATGAATTTATTTTTCTTTATTATTTTCTAATAAAAATTCTGTATTTATGTCTTGTCATCAAACTCTTTCTGAATATTTTTTATTTTTTTTTTTTTTTTTTGAAATTAAAATAATACATATTATTTCGATGGCTTTGAAAGTAATAACACAATGACCGTTTGGAAACAAGAACTAAATGTATTTAATTTATGTAGTATTATAAATACATGAATAATGTTTAGAATAATTTATTCTGCCTCTAAAGTTTATCCCCGCAGAATGATTCAGAACTCGATTTTCATGACCAAAAATGTCCCATTTTGCTTTGTCATCACCAAACATCTGCGGGTTTCAATAGCCCAATATATTGAAACGAAGCTAATTAAAAAAATATTTAAAATATTTTAAGGAGGCGCGCTCCACATCTTTCCCTTAAAAACAAAACCGAACTTTTTGTAAACCCGTTTCCGAATAATTGTGTGTCACATATAAAAAATATAGAAATGCAAAAAAAAAAAAAAAAAAAAAAATATTTCAATAAAATCTATAAAGAATTTAAATCAGCATTTAGTCGCACATAATGCATCAACTAGCTGTAAAAATAACGTATTTAAAATAATTGGTAATAAATTATAAAAAAAAACAAAAATATTTACAAATGTGTTTTTCTAGGAATAATTTTTGGAGGATAAGTATGGGTACAGATGTTGTAAAAAACAAAAAAAAATAAATAAACCCAACTTGATAACAATTCTTTAAAAATCCACATTTATTAGGCTAATGGTCCTTGGAAAAAATTCTTTAAAAAATTCACGTTTATTTGGCTAATGGTCCTTGGAAAAAATTCTTAAAAAAATACACATTTATTAGGCTAATGGTCCTTGGAAAAAATTCTTTAAAAAATCCACGTTTATTTGATGGTTGGTCCTTGGAAAAAAATCTTTAAAAAATCCACGTTTATTGGGCTAATGGTCCTTGGAAAAAAATCTTTAAAAAATCCACGTTTATTGGGCTAATGGTCCTTGGAAAAAAATCTTTAAAAATCCACGTTTATTAGGCTAATGGTCCTTGGAAAAAAATCTTTAAAAAATCCACGTTTATTGGGCTAATGGTCCTTGGAAAAAAATCTTTAAAAAATCCACGTTTATTAGGCTAATGGTCCTTGGAAAAAAATCTTTAAAAAATCCACGTTTATTGGGCTAATGGTCCTTGGAAAAAATCTTTAAAAAATCCACGTTTATTAGGCTAATGGTCCTTGGAAAAAAATCTTTAAAAAATCCACGTTTATTTGATGGTTGGTCCTTGGAAAAAAATCTTTAAAAATCCACGTTTATTAGGCTAATGGTCCTTGGAAAAAAATCTTTAAAAAATCCACGTTTATTAGGCTAATGGTCCTTGATAAAAATTCTTTAAAAAATCCACGTTTATTTGATGGTTGGTCCTTGATAAAAATTCTTTAAAAAATCCACGTTTATTAGGCTAATGGTCCTTGATAAAAATTCTTTAAAAAATCCACGTTTATTTGATGGTTGGTCCTTGATAAAAATTCTTTAAAAAATCCACGTTTATTTGATGGTTAGTCCTTGATAAAAATTCTTCAAAAAATCCAGGTTATTTGATGGTTGGTCTTTGATAAAAATTCTTTAAAAAATCCACGTTTATTTGATGGTTGGTCCTAAAAAATCCACGTTTATTTGGTTGAGAGTCCTTGATAAAAATTCTTTAAAAATCCACGTTTATTTGGCTAAGAGTCCTTGATAAAAATTCTTTAAAAAATCCACGTTTATTTGTTGGTTGATCCTTGATAAAAATTCGTTAAAAAATCCACGTTTATTTGATTGAGAGTCCTTGATAAAAAATCGTTAAAAATCCACGTTTATTTGATTGAGAGTCCTTGATAAAATTCGTTAAAAAATCCACGTTTATTTGATTGAGAGTCCTTGATAAAAATTCGTTAAAAAATCCACGTTTATTTGATTGAGAGTCCTTGATAAAAATTCGTTAAAAAATCCACGTTTATTTGATTGAGAGTCCTTGATAAAAATTCTTTAAAAAATCCACGTTTATTTTATTGAGAGTCCTTGATAAAATTTCTTTATAAAATCCACGTTTATTTGGTTAAGAGTCCTCGATAAAATTTCTTTAAAAAATCCACGTTTATTTGATGGTTGGTCCTTGATAAAAATTATTTAAAAAATCCACGTTTATATGGCTGTTGGTCCTTGATAAAAATTCTTTAAAAATCCACGTTTATTTGATGGTTGGTCCTTGACAAAAATTCTTTAAAAAATCCAAGGACGTCTGTTGGTCCTTGATAAAAAGTCTTTAAAAAATCCACATTTATTCAGTTGATATAATCCATGCCAAAACTCACTTCCGCATTCACTTTGTCCCCGGCGGAGCCTACTGCTTTTTTGAAAAGAAAAAAAAACTGAAAACGTTATTTGTCAAAAACAAAACAAATTGAAATTACCATTCAAACAGCGTCACCCTCACCAGTCCACTAGAAATAGCTTTGAAATTGAAGAAAATAATATTCAAAAAATTCTTAACAAATTAGGTACGTATGTCACTGGACAATTTGTTAGATTATTGTTTATCCTTTTTTATATTTTTTTTGTTTAGATGCAAAAATGGATTTGACCCTGCGGTCAGTTGAGGAAGATCTTCCAAAAACAGCAGTACTGGTGCCATCGGTTGGCTCACGAGGCAAACGTCCTCCACGCAATATGACTGCCACAGACAAGGTGTATGCCATTCAACGGGTACGCAATG